TCCAATCCATCTTTTTCTTGTCTATCTCTGCCAAAGGGTGAGGCATGGGGAGTGAATAGAAAAACCCAACACAACAAAATAAACCCTGTGTTCTCTGTTGCAGCTGTATAGTCAGGCTATGAACCTGGCATCAACCACAGTCCTTCTCTCAGCCTTTTGTACTGCTCCTCTTCTCCTGGGGTACACACAAACAAAAACTAGATATGGAATTTATTAACAAAAGGCATTATGTCATAGCAGTATACAGCCAAAGAGATGAGGGTCCCTTGCTTCACTGACACCAACAGGCTTCTGGAGGTCAACACAGCAAAACACATCTCCTAAGTATGTAGGTCTGGGTGCCCACACAGAAACACACCCTCTCCCACTTACCCACTGCACAAACAGGCAAACTTCTGCAAAGGAAACGTGCTCCCTGCTACATTTAGCAACCTCTAACAGTTCTAACTTGATTAATTCTCTGTAATTTTGTATTAAATTTGTACCTCCTGCAACCAAAAAGGACCATTGCACAACTTCATCGTCAGAAAGCTGTTAGCAACCTTCTCCAACTTTCAGATTAACTCTTCTGGTACTTTTCAGAAAGCACCAACGCAGTGGAAATACCTTTCCTGCCATCTTTATAAAGCAAAACCTTTTCCAACATAAATGACCCTTCTATTGAACTATAATATACCTCCAGCAAAAAAGTAAAAATTAAGAAAATGGAGCAGCAAGACTTCACCTCAGCTGAATCCAAGTGACATCACTGGGAACAAATGAAGCTGTCATATGTAAGAATCTTCAGAGAGAAGTTTTTCCCAGTAACTAATTAGAAACTGCAAACATAATGAAATAGGCTGTGATTCCTCCCACTCCTCCAGACTTTTTACAAAGAATTTTTTCTTGTAAAACCATGAGAAAAGCTGCTACTTTTGGTGAATACATGTGATACATTTTTATACCGGGTTTTAGTTCTGAGCTCACACAAGCACTGATGGAGAACGACATTCAGCAATTGCCTACATGCTATTAGAATCCACATACAGCTAACTGCTCTGTCTCCTCAGGTTTCAGTAGCTAATTCTGTAATTACCTTGATATATATCATGAACAAAAAAAGTTGAGAAGTTGAACCAGAAGTTGAGATCTAATGCTTTAGTCCTCGATAATAATTTTGCCTAAATGCCACGTGTTTTCAAGCGCATGCTATAGTTCTGATTCAGTAAACTTCAGGGAACTGCCTCATTCACAAGCCATATTATCACCTTCAATCCTGATAACAATTTTAAGACCCATGAAGTCCTGGGCCTTATTTATTCTATAGCATTTTCGCCACGGTCCACGGGGTTTCCTTTCCTCTGGATAAAAAGGACCCGTTTCTGTGATCTATTCCTGACAGAGTAGATCAAAGACAGGAACATGCAAACATCCACTGCTTACCCCAATCAACAGGAACAAAATCAGAACTGTTGAAGAAAGCAGTTTTCCCTCAACAGAGGTCACTTGACTTCCTAGTTGAGTAACTTTTGTCCAGAAGTACAGGCAGCTGGTTCTTTGGAAAGAACCAGCTTGTACTGAATGATACCTACCAGGACATTGCTCCTGCAAGAGTAGAAACCACTTCCTGAACTCAAAAAGCTAACACGAAAGGAAACAAACAGACACATATCACACACACAGAGACAGAAATGGTGTAAGTACTACAGTGATATGCTAAGGCTACTGCTTATTTGGAAGTGCCGTAACCAATCTGACACGTCCTACTTCCACCACAAACATCGCTGTAAGCAAAGAATAAGGAGAATTTTTTTTTCTCAGATTGCCTTCTAAAACTGCTTTCACCTTTATGACTACTTTAAGTTATTGTTACTTTTCTGCTCAATACTGAGATGCTGAGAACCCCATCAACCCCCCCAGAGCAGGACGCCAGCCCAGCGCTCACCTTCCTTTCTTTAGTTTCTGGTAAGAGAACATGGATAACTGCAAACTCTTGTAATTGGAAACCAAGTGATCTATCCACCAAGCAGAAACAACAGCACGCTGTTAATAGCCTTTCTCTTTTGTTAGATTTAAAAGCCAGCTTTGTTTGGGGCACTAAGCTGCCAATATCAAAAAAAGAGAACAGCAGTTACTTGCAAATACTCTCTACCATTGAATTTCACCTACTGCATGTACTAAAAGTAGAGAGTTTCAGGAGCTGTTACTCATTTTCACCCCTGAAGACAGTTAAGTTTGCAATAATTGTCATTCTTCTAGACACAAGAACACAGGCAGGACGTTTCCAGGACACTGAGATTACAGTCCAGGAAACCCAGGTCTAACCTACCAGAAGAAACAGTGGCTGCATAAGGAGAAAACACCCACATATTTCTGAATTTTACTGCTTACAAGTCATCTGATGCAGGACCCTAGCAGGAACAGAGACAACATTCTCCACCACCCCTTCCCTAGTGACTAGGGGATATTATCAGCACCTTCCCCCCCATTTCTAAAGCTTCTTGTAAATAAGATGCTATTTCTTTGCTTGTTACATTCAGTTAAGTAGTTCTGCACGTAGTAACTTCTCCCAAGCCATTTAATACAGCATTCTTATCAGCAAGAGCCAGCTTTGGCTTTGTAAGAAAAATAATCAGGTTATATTCACTTAGCCCGAATGTATCCACTTTAATTTGAGGCGCATTGACTTGATAAATATGTGTGAGTGCAGAAGTGCTTCACAAACACAACTGTGTTCATGGATCTGTGTATTATATAATTTTGTATGTATTTACTTTAACTGCTCACAAGTGCTCTAGATAGTAGAGCTTTTTTATTTAAAAAAAAATTTCCTCTGTCAAAAAAAAAGGGAACCAAATTGGTGTTTGTGCAGGAAAAGTTTGTCCAAGTAAAGTTCACTTAGCCAATATTTCTTCTGTAAATAATGAATTCACACCTTAATCACACTATTTTCTGAAACTAAGTGCTCAGATAAGTGCTCCCACCACAGAGACCATAGTACCAGGAGCTCATTTTGCATCTTTCTGCCTTCAACCACACAGCACAGGGACTAGGGCTGATTCAACCAGTGGGAGTTTGAGCAAGATCAAACACTAAGGAAGAGATCTGTGCTGCACTGCTTTTCTGACATTTTTTTCCCCATCTTTTGAAGTGGAGCAGGAACTTTTCTTAAATCAAATGAACCCAAAATGTACTTACAGTCCTTCCTGAAGACAACTTCAAACAGAAATGCCAGCTTCCAGGCTCTGATACAATGACAAGATATTACAAACAAAAACCCCTTCGTACAAAAAAGCATAGCAACAAATTTCAAGAGCAAGAGCAGATGTTATTCTTGTCCTCCAAGTCTAGATCATAAACTGATTAAACCGACTTTGTTGTTCGTTTTTCAAAATAGAGGGAAGGCATGCTTCTTCTCACTGAAGTGGCAGCTGCAGCATCTCTTTAAAAAACAGCTCCACAATCCCATTTCTCTATATAGACCACAATTTCACCGACTTCAA